ATGTCAGAATAATTTGCATACAGCAGAAAATTGGTGAAACAATGTTAAATAAGTTTCTAGAAATGAAATGTTAAAAGTCCACATCAATTGATTATTTTCGATTCTTTTTATATTCAAGATAAATGGTACAAAATTGTACCATTGGCTACCTGTAATATCCCAGTCAAAATAGGCATTTCATGTCGGAATAATTTGCATAGAGCAGAAAATTGGAACAGATGGTAAATAAGTCATTCTAAATGGAATATCAAAAGACTCCCTCAATCTGATTATCTGCGATTTTTTTATTCAAGATAAATGATACAAAATTTTGATCTTCTCAAACTATGTTAGACACATATGTTTGTTATAATTTTACCCACAAAACTGTGTTTGTACATTTTTTCATTGAAATCGCCGTTCTTGAGATATTGCCATTTGAAAAGTTAAAAAATGATTATAGAATATAGAAGAACATATATTATAAGTGAAAAATGAGAATCCCTTGAGCTGTCTTTAGATAGTATAAGTTTAATAAGTTTTTTGAAGTATCAAACTGTAGTGTTAGCCCCTGAAAACCTTCCTCCTTGAACAACACCTGCCAACTATGCCATTTTCCTAGTGTGGAGAGTCATATATCCACATCGACATCCAAAGTGTTTACCTTTTTATCCTCAAATTAAATAGATATAATTATTCTCAACGATTATCTCTTTACTGAATTAAGTTGGAGTTTGACTCATCTCCCGGACCTGCCCTAGGGCAGCACTACCCATTAATAATTTTTGAATTAATGTGCCAGTTTCCAGTGGAAACATATAAGATGGAAGATGAACTGCCACTGCCTCGTCCATTATCATTTTATGATGTACACAAGCCAAAAGACGAATTTTCTGTATATGACATTTTGATCCAACATTTCAATAAAAAAACGATAATCCCAATTGCAATATTGATTTAAAAGACCCAGGCCGAACAGCAGTCATTATACAGTTGTGCGTATTAATTTCAGATGATCTACTTTGAATCGTGGATTTTTCGTGGAACCGATATCTCAAAAACCAGCAAAAGTAAGAATTTATTAACAACAATATTTGAAAGTAGAAGGAAGAAGATGTCTATCCAACTATCACCTTGATTCTTAAGGCGTCGCTATCGGGAGATATACGTTAATTTTTGAAAATCTATAACAAAATCTTCTCCTTACTTCTACCTACCTTATAAAGTATTTTCTTTCGTTATTTGTTTTTGTTGTGAGCACAGTTGTTTAGTTTACGAGACCTTAAAATAATTATAACAACAATATTTGAAAGTAGAGGGAAGAAGATGTCTAACCAACTATCATCTTGATTCTTAAGGCATCGCTATCGAGAGATAAACGTTAATTTTTGAAAATCCATAACAAAAGTATTTTCTTTCGTTATTTTTTATTGTTGTGAGCACAGTTATTTTGTTTACGAGACCTTAATATAATTATAAGTATACGTTATTTAAATGTTTTATAAAGTGCATTATTGATTTAGGTATAATTCAACAGTTTTTTTGTATAACACTTATAAAAGCTCACACCTGAATGAAGTAAAAAAGGACAAATCAATTTTTAACCTGGCACAAGCGTAAAAACGAAAATTAGTAAATTATCTTCGAAAAATCTGTTATCATAACATTTTTCCTTGTTTGTTTATATATAAAATACTGTGCCTGATCGCACAGCAAATAGACATTTTGATAATTTTCACTACCAAGAAACAAGCATAAGATAGTGTTGCCATGATAACGCTATGTTATAAGCTCTCTTACGTCAGAAGTTAAAAAAAGCAATTTTACAAGAGATCCCTTTAGAATAGTAAAATAATGCATTGGACCTGGTTTCCCTGGTCGTCCCGGATACGGGGTAAAAACAACCAGGAGAAATTTTTTTGCAAAAAAACACATTTCTACAACAATGCTAGGAGTTTTACTGAACATAGTCAGATAGTTCTTTGTTTGATATATGTTGTATTTGTTGTGATATAATTGGTTTGGTTTTTACAATATAACTGATCTAATTCAAATTGAACCCTTAGTGCCTCGTACTACCCTATATCATAATAGCAATTTTGTAGAGAATTTTATATTAAAGAAATCTGTCTCACACATTTTGTGGTAGTCCACAGTTTCCGCAAAAAATGAGGAAAATCAGAATTTTGTACCTTTGGCATTGAATAAAAAAAATCACACAAGTCAGATCAATGTGGTCTTTGGACATTTTATTTGTAATGACTTATTACTCCATTTTTGGCTTCATTTTGACTGGTCTACAAACTATATGCTGTAACTGAACTGGTCGCACACACGGTAAAGCTCACGGCTAAAACTAATTGTAAACTATCGTCGGCGTCGGTTTAGTTCAGTCGTTTCCACCACGACCTATCGTCGGAACAAGAGTGGAATTGAAACTGCCACGGGCTATGCCGAGAGAATACTCGTGCATGGATTTGTTGAAGACGTTGTTGTTTTCAAGCAGTTTCAGAGAGGAGAGATGGAAACGAGAGTGTGCAATGATGCACTTGTTCATTAGGGTTTGTTATCCGGAAAATGCAGAATGTTTGGACTCAAATTTATTTATATGTGGTACTAAAACTTAATCAAATTCCATCAATTCTCTACGATATTTCGGAAATATACAACATATATTAGTACTAGGGTAGAGCTGGACTTAACACTAGAATGACGGGACGAGTCAATTTGACTCATTTGCACTTTTTATATGATATACATAACAAGTTCATGTCACTTTTTTAAAATATTTTTTTCGTTTTTCATAATACAACGAAAGGTATACAAAAATTAATTTCTATTCCTCCCTAATCTCTTACTCAAATTACCTCTCAATCAGGCAAAATAGGTATGCAACCAACCTCCGTCATTCTAGTGTTAAAGGTATAAAGGACTACCATCATTATTGCCTTTCCGTGGGCTAAGTTATAGTTATCAAAACTAGATATGGAAAATATTTCCATATCTTTCATATACCTTATACAAATAGACCTCCAGTATAAGCTAAAAAATGTGTCATAACATAAAAAGGCAATTGTGACATCACCTGGGTGAACGAGCGTTGCTGAGAACCGTCAAATGCTCTTCAATTGAAATTGCTTAAATAAATGTCATGTCACGTTTTTAGTGCGAGGAAATGAAAATACATTTAAACAATCGAGAGTACTCGACGGTTTTCGGCAACGCTCGTTCACCCGGTGACGTCACTGTCGCCTTTTTATGGTTAGAGACTTTTTAACAGGGGAAATGTATAAGGACTAGCAGTCCTTATGTATTATAAGGTCTATGATATCTTTACGTTAAGAAAAAGTTTTACGTATGTGTGTGCGTAGTATGTATGTATGTATGTATGTATGTTTGGACACAAATTTTCGTCCACGATTTCGAGAGCACGGATCAAACGCGTTTAAGGATTCACAAACATTCGATTACTATTGGTGGGGAGATGGGCGAAGCCAGTTGCATTCATTGCTAAGATACGGGGCAAAAAGTGTAAAAAATGGTAATTCAGTTTTTGAGAAAACAGAGCTTCTATTCGAATGATCAAAAAAATATTTGCATTGTACTGACAGAGTGAAAAATTGATTAAATTTTTGGGAAAGCAGGTTCAGTAGTTTCGGATACCCAATAAAAAAAAGTAAAAACATGCCATTTGGTGGTTAAAATGATCATTAGACATATGTACATTAAATTATTAGATAATTTGTAGAGGTTTTAAAAACAGGTAAAAAAATTCTTCATATGGAATCCGTACCAATAATTACAATGTTTAACTGTTAAACTGCAACACGGCTCTTACGCGCTTCGATATTTCGTCTCTACGCAAGCGCGATCGCTGTTAAAAAATTCAAAATTTCCACATGTTTCCAGAAATGTTAAAAACAATCAGAATTAACAAACATTTTCAAAATGTTTAAATTATGGTACTCGAAGTTTCAGCGATTTGCCTTAGGCACGATGTCATGCAACACTTTTAGAATGTTAGAACATTTTTGGCGTACAGTTCTTCTGAGTTGATATCAACTTTTGGTACCTACGATTATGAATTTCATAATCATCCACGAACAGTTCAAATATTACAACTATTCTGGCAGACTACATGACCTATTCGTCACCAGATAATGCCTGATCCGTATTTGCTTAAGCAAAGTTACACAGTGATTTTGGGCTGAAGCCGAAGCCGAGAGCTATGAAATTGCACGATGGTCCTAAGTGGCAATTCGTTAGGATTTTGAAGTAATTACTGTTGCCGACAATAGCTGTAATTTTCAGCAAACGTCGCAAATTCGAATTTATGACATTATATTTAATTAGGTCAGATTTATCAAAGTCAGATTCATGTTTTGCTACTTTTGTGCTCGTTTGGTCAACACCTAGAATAGAAGGGTTGATGATTTATTTACATGATGACTTACTTATCATCGTAAAAATGGATGGATTGATGTAAGGTTCTAAGTATACTTGATTTTTGCAAATATTCGATATTATAATTTTCTTGTAAAGTAGAATTTATCATCTGCTTCTAAAACTTTTGCTAGTTATTCTACTCTATTTGGTTCTGTTCCAAATCCAATTTTTATGTTACTGTACAATTTGGTCTTACTAATCTGATTACTATATTTATATAAATAAATTGATGTAAAAACAGTTTTGCAATAATAAATTAACTATTTTTTGTTCATTTTCAGGCTATTTATTTGACCACAACGGTTCCCCAAAATATGGCAGCTCGGGACATCGCAGGGAGACACGCGCCAACCCGTCAGAGTTTACGACATAGTCGTATGATTGTCATGAGCAGAGGCGGAAAAGGTAGGAAATATCAGATTTATCTTCGAGTTTTAATAATTTATTATCATACGATAATATATTTAAGTCAGTATGCAGTTTCCTTCCTAACGAATTCAAAATGTGTATATGTGCCAATGGTATATGCCGATAATTAGTTATATGTTGTATAATTTCTTTGAGGGCGATGCTGCTATGTAGTATAATTATTGCATCGATTGCCAATACGAAAGGTTACCATTTTCATACTTATATAAGTTAATTGAAACAAATACATATATATGCAAACAATATTAAATTATGATAGTATAATGATATTCCCAGAATAGGTGTATACAATTTGTATCTTTATGTAAAAATCAATGTATGTATTTAAGTCAAATAAAGCAAATTTTCAAATTAAAAAAAATAAGGGTTACCTTAGCACCATTCGCGAGCTAAAGTATCTGTAAATACCTGTGAGGGTTAGTAGCTAACTATGCGAATGAAAACAAGATTATCTTTACAAATAATCCTATTTAATAATTATAAATGATGTACAAGAATGCATTTATAGAACATTATTGTAACGATAATATTGATTATCGTTACAATATTCTCATTGTGTAGAATAACCACGATATCTACAGTAGTAAACTACACCAACATATTTTAATATAATAGTTTCTGGGAAATCATAAATTTCAAATAATTCCAAAAATGTCTCGAATGTAATAACTGAACATTCCTTTGTATCAAAATGTAGTTCAGTACATATACCTGGTACAAAACAATGAACAGAATTGCGCATCGGAACCAAAAAGAATTCGTTCATATAAGGGAATAATGAATGTAGATGAAAATCGTTCTATGGAAGTTTTATTTTATCAGACCTATAGGATAGAAAGGATCAGGTGATAAATTTTTGAAAAACAGCAAAAAAATACACTTATACAATGCTGAATTACTTGGAGGTTTTACTGAACATAGTCAGATAGTTTCTTGTTGTATTTCCCTACATTAGGTTTAACAATATAGACAAATTAATAGTTCACCATGTTGGCATTAATTTCCAGTTATTCATACAGTGTTTGTCACACTAATCACATCCTGATAATGTATTTTGTATAAATTATCACAGAATTATGAATTTATTATCCATAATTAATCATAGAATAATACAAATTTAGTGGTTATCAATTTCAAATTTGATTTACTCAATGTGTCAGTAATTTGTTGGATCGCATTAATTATACTTGTCATTAAAATTTAATGGCCATGATTTAGGTGTAAAGTTAATATTAAATTGATGTCATAATTACAACATATGCATAAACAAATGTTTCCTCCAAAATACCTGTAAGAATTTCAGATAATTGAAAGTAATTGTATATAACTACAATAAAATAATATGTGCAATTAATTATTAGATCATGTTACCAAAGCATTATGCATAAAGTGTACGTATATTCTTTTATATTATATGCTAGTATTCAAATTTTATATTAGTAGATTTTTAAATTATAAAATTATTAGTGTAATAGTATACATTTTCTGTTAGTGTAATAGTATAAATAAATTAATAAATTAATAAATAACCAATTTTGATTCCATAATGGTTTTAAGGTAATTTATTAGGTAATTATGCTGATTAGTCTTAGATCATTTAGACTATTTTTGTTTAAAAACGTATATTTTAGAATCTCCAAGAACATTCAAAATAAATTCAAATATTTATTTTATTTGTCGATCTGATATGAAAATTGTTCCAGCCATCGTTCGTAATTTAAGATAAAATTTTTGTCAAAATATCTAAATACGATTTAATATAATTTCGAAGTTACTTTATTAGTTATTTTATTTTTTATTTCTTAGAAATATAATGAGTGAATCTCAAGATATATTAATTTAAAGAAAATCCGTTACAACAAGCTTCTATATTCTCTATAAAATTTTTTTGCACAAATTTTACTAAATAATGCTTCATAGTACTGTGCCAACCTTTGTAACAAATTTATTTGATATTATTGCTATTGTATTGTATATAATTTACATTGTTTATTAAAGTGATTATTATTTATAACTTTTAGCATTATTTTAAAAGGTTAGTGTGAAGAAGTGTACAAAAATCTACATAATTAATATTCGTTACACTTAAAATTGATTATATCTTCTGATATATAAAAATGGAGCTGTTGATAAAATGAGTATTTTCTTCCATTGGTAGTTTTTTAGCATTAGTTAAAAATGTAATTATTTTGTGAAATACCATTAAAATTGAAATAAGACATTAAACCTGTTTGCCACTTGACCATTCCAAGTTACCCTGCCTATAGGGTAAAAAGGTCAAGATAACGTTTTTTTGAAAGACATCAAAAAAGCACATTTCTACAATGATGAAGTAGCTGGCAGTTTTACTGATCGTAGTCAGATAATTGTTCGTTTGAAATATGCTATTTGTTGTGATATAATTGGTTTGATTTTTACAATTATGTTTGCTCAAAGTCAAATTGGACCTTTGTGCCTAGCCCTGATCTACATATATACTTCCTATAAGTTTACTTTAATTTTCAAAAAGCAGCTCAAAGAAGAAATACTTAATTCATTTTCTATCTCTCCTTGCAGAAATTTAAAAATTTTGTATAAGCGCAGTAGTATTATTTACAATTATACACAAAATCCAGAATCCAAAAAGAATGTGAAAAACATGAAACGTAATCAATAAGTCGAAAGACCAAAAAAGACTTGGATTGGATTATATTATACCATGTTTTCTATAGAAAGTGTATAAAACTTCCAGTTTGATTGTATTGACAAAGTATAGACAAACTAATTTTTTTTATAATATCTCATTGTATATAGCATTCAAACAACACATCGTTATGCACTTAAAGTATTAATATATTTGGTTCTCTAGAAAATGTTTAGAATATACCTTACTTAGCAAATTAACGTTTGCCGGGTCAGCTAGTATATACATATGTGTGTGTGTGAATGTATTTATGTGTGTGTGTGTGTGTGAATGTATTTGTGTGTATGTCTTTCTCTAAGTTTGTTCGTGATGTTTGATACGTGTTAGAAAAATACCTCGTGCCGAAGGTTCGTGTCAAATCAGTGTCACCCAATTTCCCAAAAATCCCTGGGCGCAACTTTATCTCAAAATTGGATCATCTGTTGAAATGTTTAAAATGTCCCAGTTCTATCTTCGCCTGCAAACGTTTCCGTACGACGATCGTCTCTTTCCCTGTTCCTTATATAAACGCCTGCAAGAAGAAAATATGATAAGATTTTTCAGAATAAAAAACTTTATCATAGGAATTACAGTTGGCTGAGTGTCGAGTTATTGATTATAGATACAGCGTATTAAATTTCAAATTTTCTGGGATGTTTATAGGAAAGGAATTTCTTTTCAATTTAGGACGTTTTTTATTTTACGTATATATGAGAACATATCGATGTTATTTTTGAAGTAAAACTTCTTTAGGCGCGACTAGGGTGTAAATCCGTACAAATGCAACGGAAGTGCGTTACGACAGATAAGATAAGATGAGAGTCGAGTGCCAATGATTCGTCATTCGCTCTCGATGATATCATTTCTATACGCGTCGATTGTGATTAGACGTCGTGTATGTGAATAGAGATCTGTCGTTGTATGCGTACCGGCATCAACATTGTATGCGAAATCGACATAGATAAATAAACATTTTAAAGTTACATCGTAGTACAAATTTTGATTTAATGAAAAATGACTGAATCAGAAAAATATTTTACCCTGCTCCCCGTAAATAATTATAATGAAAATAATAAAACAAATGCAGCATTTGCGCCGTGTATGGAACATAAGTTTATTGAAATAATTTCTATATTATTCGTAATTTCTATAAATCTTTGAAGTTATTGAAATGGAAAATATTTTTTAGGCAAAACAGATATTACAGCTGTTCAAAAAATGAGATTATATCGTCAGCAAAAAATAAAAATAGTGAAAAAAATACCATCAGTCAATGAATGTATGTTAATTTTAATTACATGACGTTCTACAAACACAATTATTACATGATGAGTGAAGTTGCGAAAACAATATTTGTTTTGACGTTGTTCAACATATTTCACTATGTAAACGAATATTATAGAAGTAATTAACCAGTAATTACTTCATTTCTCTAATGAAGGTTAATTTCTAAATGCTAATTACAATGACAAACCGATCATGTCATATTTGAAGTATGACTTTAATTACATTATTGTTTTTAAGTATTATACATATTTTTAATGCTATTATAAATATATAATTTATAATTTATCATTATATAAATTTGTATAATGGTTGACACTTTTGGTAAAATGCCAAAAACTTAGGTAATATTTATTTTAGTAATTATTTTAAATAAAAAAATTAATAATGTGTTTGTATTTTGTTTTTATAAAAAAGTTGCATTCTGAATACCCTACTCAGTGGTCAAAGACTTATACGCATGATAAGTATACACTTCATTACACAAAATTTTGCCACTTCTCCATGATGAGTACATTCGTCAATTAAAATTACTGGTTAATTAAAATAGCAAACGTTTTGAGTCCTCATTTTCAGTAAATCATTAAAATTGATCATCTGAACCTAATTTACTCATCTTTATCCTTGATTCTGACAACACACAACTACAGTTACAGTTTATGAGAGCGCCACAGTTAACTGGTTAAAGTCTTTTATAAATTATCTAGCTTTGTTAATAATTGGATGTCTGAAGAGTTTTTTGTTATATATAAATACTACGGCATAACAAACTTAAACTGTGTACTAGTTACGCATGAAGTATTTTGTAGGAAGAGAGATAGGAAGGTTTTTGTACAAAAACTTTGGTGAACGGTATATTGCACGCAATTCGATGTAGTTTTTCTCGCATTTTTTCAATATATGTACACAGTATATCCGATTATAAAAATGGAAAAATATTCAGTCACCAATAACATTCTCTATGAACAAGAAAGACAAAACCGTTAACGCTCGTAACAATATGGGCTTTAAAGCGTATTCCGAATTATCC